CTTTTCCACCTTAAATAAACAAACAAGCAAAACAAACAATCTACAGTGCTAAAGCTCTCCACTGACGATCATCCATTTACACCAGTGCTGCTGTCACCATGGCAATGTTTGTGTAGCTTCATGCTGCTATTGGTCACATACCGCTGTGAGGCGTGGAATGGCAGTTTTTTTTCAATGCAAACATGAATGCAGCATTTGCCATAGTTGCTCTTCACTTGAAACGCGTTATTCCTAAATGTGATAAGCATCAAAAACACTGTTTTTATTAACAAAACAGAAAGCTCATACATGTAATTATTATAGCAGATCACATTACAGGCAAATGTCTTTGTTTAAGAAAATTAACAAGTATCAAATCTGCCGCGACTGTTTCTTTATACTTAATTGTGCGTCTGAATAAAAGTCAGATGCAGGAACTTTTCCCTGTACTGCATCAGCTTCGCAAGCGAAAAACTATTCCATTTGTTTGTATTATTATCAATTTCATGTAGGTTAAATTAAATTTGAATACTGTGGTTAAACATCAACTAACAAGACAAGCAGCACCACTCATGCTGGCTAACAACAAACATCTGCAATTTGGAGGTATTTTATGCTAGATACAGCTGCCAATAGCACAAATAAACTCATTTTTTTGAATGTGTAGCTAACAATTTTTCTGTTGCACTGAAATGTTTACACTGGAATTATGATTACTGTTTATTTTGCTGTTGCATTATCCAAAAGCACATTTATAACAGTGTTTTTGGAATACTTCATTCTTATTTTTCTTTTTATTCTTATTTTCATTTTTACCACTGCTCTAGATACAGCCTCATGTCAGACACAGTGAGGAATACAAAATTTTAATAAAATGTTTAAAAAAGCAATGATATCAGATGGGTAATTCAATACCCATAAGTCAATACCCAGAAGTCAGGTATCGGAATTGCCGTTGGAGGAGAAAAACTGGGACTGGTGCATCTCTGTGTGAGTACATAAAATCATACACTTTGCGCAAGATTTCTAAAAATCACACAGTGTATGCCTGGCTTTAGAGAGGACATTTAACTACAGCTCAACCAGCCAAAAAGACTCCAGCAAGACGTAAAACTCCACAAGTCTTTGATTGGCTGAATCAGACGCATTGGTGTTAGGTGTTAGTTAAGGGAGTGGCAGACAGTTTGATGCTGGTTGAAACTAGAGCTGTACGATTAATCGTATTTTTGTCATCATTTCACGACTTTTCATGACAAACACATCATTCGAGAGACAATCAATTTACCTCACAGAACACAGCCGGAGAGATGTCATTACATTGCTGGCACAAACCATTAGAAACCTAATGAGTGCTACTCTGCACTCACATGGGAGAGGAGTAACTTAACCTTTAAGCTAAACAGCCATTTACAAAACACACACGTGCACAGCTCAAATACTACTCCACCCTGAACTACTATCCTGTAAAAATGCTAAGACTGTTCTCACACCAGTACTGTTTCTAATGTGCAAGACAGTAATGGCCACTGTCACAACTTACTGTCACTCACTTAATGTGTAAGTAAGCAACAGTACATAAATACATAAACAAAAATATTTATTCATTCTTGCGTGCTTAAATTAATAAAGAAATACAAATTTATTTGTTTTTGTAGCCTTTATAGAAAAAGCTGTTGAGGTAACGCTGACTGTTTCTTAGCTTTTTAGTGCACAAAAGATGTGCTTGGAGTTTTGATGTAAGTAGCTGTTATTATTTAATTACTTTTGTATTTTACACAACAGTGAATAGTGCTTTTGTAATTTTGTGTCTTGCTATTTGCTTAAAGGAGATGTTAGAGTTCTGTTTACATATCCACGTCTGTAGTGGCATCACATCCAGTTACTGAAACATTATAGTAATTTATCGCATCTCATAGTCACTGTGATATATGACAGCTTTATCGAACATCACATTTTGTGTCAATTTCGTACAGTTCTGGTTAGAACTAAACTCTGCAGGAGATCTGCAAGTAGATCTCCAGAAGGAGGGCTGGTGACTACTGAATTAGAACAATGTTAGCTTAGCAAGTTTAGCAAGCCCCTGACAAGAAACAAGCATGTTTGTGTTCTCCAGTTTAAGCTTCTCTGTGGCGCTGCCATATTACTTGCTGTGCTGAAATTGGTTACTGAAGAAAAGTGTTGCGAATATCAACCAAGAGGCTGCTTACTGTAGGTTAATAGCAGGCTCTCATTCAATATTTGTAGCACCTTTCTCCTATGTATGCTGAAAATGCGCTCAGACCTTTTTTGGAAACAGGCTCTTGTGCCACTTCATGACCCCAGTAATACCGTCAGTCATGATGGCTAGGGCATACTGCCCATAATTTCACAAGCAAACAACTGCGATAAAGGATGATACAACTAAAGTCTTCGTCTCCACTCTAAAGGGAACTGTAATATCTACAGAATCACTGACCATAAACAATTCACCTAACTTATTTTTTTTCATCGTCATTTCATTGCATCAGGGAGGGTCTCTGAACTAGCATTGAGTGTTCACGCAATGATAGGTGGAGGGTGGTGGGAGGGGGATATAAAACATTATACAAAGTAAATAATGGCCAATTTTGATCTCAAGTTGACTTTCAAATCCATAATGTTCTAACAGTAGTAGCTGTACACAGTGGGGGTGTGACAATTTACTGATTTTATTGATTTATCCTTTGCTAAGTATTATAATGCAATGTGCCAATAAGCAAGCTACAGAATGTTAACTGATGAGAACTTGTACTTGGACCCTGCTGCAATTAACAAACTCAACTTTGACTAAAGCTTACACTAGTATAAACTAGCGACTGCATGTGAACTTGTTTTTAATTTTTTTTTAACATTTCCTGCTGTTTTGTCTGAAGAGATGTTCATCCGAAGTTGAGTGAAATCTCAAGTCTCTGGCGTGCGAGTCCAGGTCGAGTCTTGAGTCATTGGGGTGCAAATGCAAGTTCAGTCTTTAGTAGAGAACTTTACCTAGTCTTGTTATTAACAGCAGGTATTACATTTTACAAAAATAAACCCATCTGGTTTGACATGACTTCAAATAACGAGCCATTCTGTCTGCAGGAAGGAATAAAGGGCTACATGCAGTAAAGGCACTGTTTGATGGGAAAGAGGCAAAACAACTTGAAATGGCGAGTTATTGTATTATTTCTATAGCACATAAGCTAGTTAGCTAGTGCAATCACTAATCCAACTGAAACTTTAATAAGTTTTAAAGGAATGTGATCTCTAATTCCACTTAAATTTTAGCTAGATTAGCTAGGACACTAGCTAACGTTAGTATACTTGCTATCCAAACTACGTGCTAGCCAACAGTTTCCAGTTGTTTCACGCTTTTTCTTTAAACACTGCTTTTACTGCATGTGGCGCTGAATTCGGTTCAGCAGACTGAAGGTTTCTCTATAATGTAAAGCTACTGAAGGTTATTTGAAGCCATTTCGAACCTGATGCCGATGCAAGCTGCAAAACAGCACTACAGTAATGACCTTAGCAAAAATGACAAGCAAAGTCACACATATAAGGTTGGAAATAACAGGTTTTATTATTTTGCTGCATTAAGGATCACAGTCCTAATGGAATTAGTTTTGTAATTCTAGCTTTTTCCCCTGGCTGAAATTTCACAAGTCATAAGTCTTGTGTCCGAGTGAAGTCATGAGTCAGTCAACACGCCCACCGCTGTTTGTGTAGCATGCATGCTACGTTAAACTAAAATAATGACTGGGATGTTCTAGCTCTACAGGCTGCGAGGTATACAAGATACCTGCTTTAAATTAAAAATGTGGAACGTTTCAGATTTAATTGAAAGCCTGGCACTCCTGATAAGTCTTTTTAAATTCATATAATCTACAAAGCAGTAACACCTTTAGGTCATGAATGCCATGGATTAGATATGTGGGGTGCAATTTTCAGAACAAGGACATAGTCTAAGTGTTGAAAAATCAACCTCCACTGAGGAAAAAAGGTATGCTTTTGGAATTAGTAAATGTTCACAATATAACTTTTGACTTAAATAATACAGCTATTTACCTACTGGACAAATACTGCCCTTTAAACTGTGACGACAGTTGTGTATCAAACTGTCTTGTATCATGATGCACATTGTATCATTGATGAGACAGTAATTCCCATCTCTAATATGCAGTGAATGTGATGTTTTCAACCACTTCCTTCCAAAATGTACAGCAGCAGTATAACCAAGTGCTGGTTCACATTCAATGTCATGGCTTGAGGCTTGAAAGTTAGGTGAAATTAATTACTGTTTTACCTGCCAATAATATTTTCATAAAGGAAAATAAAATGCATATAAGGAATCCTCTCATGAATTGTAACAAGTTGCATTCTGCTACTTAGGGTGACCATAATTTTCACCAACATCACATTAAATGGCAGAAGTGAATGTCGGAGATCAAAAGAAGATCATAGATTCAACCAATTCGATTAATGTCATAAAGGCCAAATAGCAGGCCAAACAGGATCATATCGCATAAACAAATTCATCCGTTAGTCTATACAGTGGGTTAACTCAAACTGCATTGAAAAAAATCTGCAGCTGATATGATTAATTGCTGAAAAAAGGTTACCACTTCTAATACACAATACCTCAGCCCTTTCACTCTGAGCTACTGGTGGAAAACGTTGCACAGAAAAGCGCACTTTTAAAAACTAACAGTTTTAAAAGAATCAATGATTAACACCGTCAAACTGGGATTCTGTTGTTAGCTTGAGCGGTTCTGGCCATTCACTGACAACGTGCATTAGGCCTCTATAGACGGGCAGATACAAGAATGTACAGAGGTAAACCAATAGGTTGAATCATCGGTATACTGTTCGGCGTGAAATCAACAATACTTACATTCACTCTTACAAGTAAACAGCAACATAAATACGTGCTGACACGTACAGCTATCTAGCAGTCAGGTTGAAGCGACCGTTGAAGACAAGACATGAATGTGGTTACAGTAGGCAGATGTTTGATTCATCTTAGTTACCTGGGTTCGGGTAGGATGATTTTCTTACTCGCCCGGGCCGCTGGAGTAGACTTACTCTTCTCCATCGCCATCAAATAGCTGACATCGGCGAGAACTGCTTCTAGGTCCGCCATCTTCAACCCTGGGTCGACCGAATCGATACAGGACCAGGCGCAGGAGGGTTCGGTGGGAATCAAAAATGAGAAGGAGGTGGAATCAACAGCAAAAGAGCTCGACGGCAGCGGCAATGCGGGAGTCCGGAGCGAGCATGGAGTCGAGCCTGACGGTTTTCCAATCTCAAAAAACGGTCATTGTGACAGATAACACAAGATTCACGCGAAGAGGGGAAAAAAGACAGCGTCTCTACGGCAAGCGGCGTCGCCTGGCTCGTTGCTTCGTTTTAAAAATAAAAAACCATAACATGAACAAAAGGGCAACAAATTCCAAAACAATCGCAGTTGTATATTATAAGAGCAATATTGATTCGATTTTTCTTCTTCGGCCCCCCACCCCCCTTTCACAGTGAGCTTACTGCGAGAACCCACCTGCTGGTTATGACTGTCAAAATAAAGCTAAGTGAACAAACGTAAATTCACACATGAAAATACTGTTAGCTAGCTAGCTAATATAGCTAGCCTAGCAACCAAGACATAAACTTCAGTCCTCTTATAACATCCGGCTCTCTTAAATTTAGATGCGGTGCAAAAAATAACGCACAGCAAAATCCAATCTGATTAGCTAACAGTGAACACAACTATATTCTTAAGAACAAGTTCAGAGCTTAAAGTTATGCTAAAATCAGAAGCAAGCCAGCTCACCACAAGGATTTACAAAAACGTTAAACTGGGCGACTACAATGCGCTAATATTTTGCTCAAATTTTCAGTAAATTTAAAGACAGACAACGCCAAATTTACCAGCTCACGGCAGACTAAATGATGTTCTTCTCCTTCCGATAAATTACTTCTCTCCCAAAGACAGAGCCAATGTTAGTTTCCTGTGCGTTACGGACCAGACCTTGCTGATAAAATAATGGCTATCGTCGATGCGACGCAATCTGGTTAACTAGCTAGCTAACTATCCTGTTTTGCAAAGCTAGCGAAACAGGCGTGTGGGCTGACTGGTTTAACAGCCACTACCTAAGCATTAACAGGCATTAACTGCAACTTTCACAAAATTGTACTAGCTAGCAGCTGCATCTCGACTGCCAAGCCAGCTACCGCTTCTCCATTTTCTTGGTTGACAACAGAGAAGGGTGTTGTTACGACAACTGTTCGTCCGACCAATTGAGTCCGTGAGGAAGGACAAGTAGGTTAACGTTACAAGCTCAGGCAAACTGGCTATTTAGAAACTAAATGCTAAAGCACACAAGCCGCTAAGAAATCCGGCTAAAAATGAGTGACACCAAGTTGTAGCTTAAACCGTCTTACAGTTCCAACAATCTCATCATATACCGACTAGACCACAACACTCTGTAGTATTAGCTATATAAGGCCTTTTCCTGAATGGTACGCCGTGCCAACTAACGTTTTCACTTTATATTATTGCTATATGACTGGCTACCTGATGGAGGGGGAGGGGGCGCTCGAAAAGGAAATTAGCCAGATAGCAAGCAAAACGTTAGCTTGCTATGCGAGCTTCTCACAAAAATCCTATGCAGCATGCATTAAAACGTGCCCCTGCAGGTTTCTGTTCAACACCAGACTGTAAGCTGTCAGCACACACAAAAACTGACTTTGTTAGCTAGCTAAAACAACGTTGACTGCAGTAGCAATGTCTCTAGCTGGACAAACTTTTCAGTCCTCTAAAACTACAAACTAACACTTGCGGAACTTCATTTTCGTGGCTAACACGCTTAGCAGGCTATCTTAAAAACGATACCCGCCACTTAGCTGGCTAGGTAGCTAACTAACGAAACACTTACGTCTATGCGGTTGGGCTCTTACAAGATTAAATTAGAAGTCGTGTCAAGGTAACCTCTTAAACTGTGACACTTCCACCTTTGACTGTACATTCATCAACAAAAAAATAAACCCTCTGTATATTTGCTTCTCATCTTCACGAAATCCCCGAGTCTGCCGTTAGCATAACGCATCCGCATTCGGGTGGCTGAAAAAGTCTTCCAACAGTACACAGTCGTCCGGCATAATTTATAAAAATCCGTCCAATCTCAGACCCTTTGCGCTTAGTCCGCTTGTACTAAGTCTCCAAAACGAAAACAATGCTCCGATATTTTGTCTCCTTATCCTGATGAAATTAGCTATCTAAAAGACTCCGTTCGTATCTGCTCGCTTAAAGACCTCGCTCTAGCCTCCGTTCGTCGTGAAGTGGTTTCTCTACTGCTGTTCGCAGACGGGTAGCTGTGTTGGGAGCTGCACTTCCTCTCCGCGCAAACGCACTGTAAAACACGGCACTGGAGCACCGTCGAGTGGAGCGTGGGAGTCTAACAAAAAGCGCCATATTAGCTAAAGAAACCCTCGTTGTATCTCGAAACACAATACGTTCATTTTTAAACTTGGACGATATCCTGTGTAGGTCTAAACTTGGGATCAACTGAGAAACATATTAATCGACTTATGCCCCGTATTTTTGCTGCTTTTCATTGATTTCCATTGCCACTGATTTAATTGATTTCACTGATTTTTTTTAATGTTTTCATCTATTCTGTGTTGTCTGCATCTTAATTCTTAAATCTCCTGTTTGGCGTGTGCTTTTACAAAGCGTGGTGGGTATTTTGGTTTTTGACTATATGGCTCCCCCTGATGGATAATTTCTGCAAATCACATTTAAGTCTGCGATTGTCTATTCCATTTTTGGAGACCCTGTATTCTGCAGGTTTCTGTTTCCCTTGTTCTAACAGGACTATCAAATCATCTATTAATCTGGTCTAAAATGCTAAATCCGTTAGAACGTGAAATGGGGTCTCCGAGGCTGGGATGGAGAACTACTGCTTTAAAGCACAAAAATCCACAGACAGATGACAGCAGTCAGTGCCAGTTGTGGTAATGCACATTTTCTTTGACATTTTGGGGAAAATAGTTTGGAACAAATAAAGTTCCAGATATTTCCTGTGGGTGCTTTCTGTATTCTGTATTTGTGTTTTATTAGGTGATAACAAGCTAAAATTGAGTGTCATACTCTAAGGTAGAGTAAAATATGGATCTGATGTTGTATCAGTTTTAACCTAAAGGTTAGAACAATTGGCAGAAGTTGACAAATACCAAGAGGTCGGTGAAGTTTAAGAAAGACGGTTTATTCAGCACTGGGCAATAGGGGATAAGAGTTTTTTGAGGGGTAAGGGCCAGAGAAGGCTGGGTTACTGCTGGATACGGCGGATGGACTGGATCTGAGGAGTCTGACAGTGAGAGCCAAACTCCCTGAAGTGTTTGTACTCCCCACCGTGGCGGTCGCACTCCATGATGTACTGGTATCCACGGTAGCCAGGGTACTGGTAGCAGACAAAACTATGGGAAAAAGAAGACAGAAAAACAGGGATTACAAATGAAATATCTAAACCAAATCTCACATGCCTTGAGTGAAAGCAGATCAGTGGCTGTGAGTGATAAAGCAACATTATAAGCATAATAAATGTAAGCATATTAAAGGCACTAGAACAAATACTCACGCTCCAGAGTGGATGCGCATGGAGCCCACTTCATTGTTGCACCAGCCCATGGCCTGCAGTGAGGGGTAGTCATCGCTTAGCTCTCCTTTACGACCCAGGTAGTTCTCCCTCTCATAGATGGTCATTCTGCACTCCCTGTGGTTCTTTATTGGTAAGAATACATGAAGATTAAAGAATAAACTAGAGAAGAAAGAGTAAAACAGAGAAGTCCCAATACTGTTTCAAATATGTTTTTTTAAAAATTGGCCAAAAATGTATTTCCAGCAGCTTAGAATGAAGCAACTACTGTTGCTACTTAGCAACCAGTGGTCAGTGGAATGATACAAGTATGGAGAAAAACATGCTGTTATCAGATTTAACACTATACAATGATTTTTAGCCAGTCAGATTGTATAGTCAGAACTAATGCCACCTAAAAAATAAAAGTAAGGAGATGAGTCCCCTTGTACTTAAGAGTATGTTACTGTAAATATGCAAAAATTCCGAGTATGATCCTGTGTAATAACTAAATGATGAATTACTGGAATCACTGATTAAAGTAGGGAGAATGTCCAGTAATTTATCACATAGTCGTCACGCTCAGCGTTGTTTATCAAAAAATATTGTATGTTTGCAATTACATGATCAAGTTCAAGAGGACTAAAAAAGAGGATCAAAAGAGTAAACAGGTTCAGCTCATATCTGTTTCATTTACCTTACAAGATGAAGCACGGGTCTATACGAAAGTTCAGAATAAAATAGTGATTGGGCTTTGAAAACTTACAGCACAGGAGATAGGCCTGAAGGAGGTCATCCTCTCAATGTGGTAAGCATTGCTTCCTCCAAAGGCATCACACTGAGGGTACTCTCCTCGCTCCAGCACAAACTGCTGGCCCTGGTAAGAGGGGTGCTCATAGCCCACCCACCTATGAAGAGTTACTTATTAGAGGAAGAAGCAGGCCAAGGATTTAGAGTCATCAGTATCATTAACCTAGATAATATCCTTGTGTCTTAGTTCACAACTTAGTTCTGCCAAAACACATTCAAGATGTAAGCACTCTTCCTTATATTTTCCTTTAGCACATGATTACTCAAACAGCTGCTATGTCCCATAGCTTTAAACCTGTCAAACTACAAGGGTCTGAATGTAGACCTGCACTTTAATTCCTCATGCATAACTATATAATTCCCATCAGAGGTGTCAGACTCCCATCTTGGTAGGCCACAGCACTGCAGAGTTTTGCATTCTACCTCATTAAACACACCTGAATTAACTCAACAGCTAATTAACAAGGCCTTCATCAGTTGCATTAAGTATGCTAAAGCAGAAAAAACACTAATCTCTGCAGAGCTGTGAACCTCCACAATCTAAATTTGACACCCTTTCTCATGTAACTTTCATAGTTAAATAATAAGTTTACTAAATAATAAGTCTCAAGATTAATAACTGAATAATTAATTTGCAGTTTAAGATGAAATTAATGTGTAGTTACAGATTTAGTTTTCTATGAAATGTACCATGGCAGCACTCCCAACAATAAATGACCAAATGGCACAACACATTGTGACATGCACTTACGCTCCACTCTCTACCCTCAGTGAGCGAACACTCTCAAAGCCAAACTCCATAACATTGCAACACTCTGAGGTGAACTCATGATGGCGGCCCTGGAAGCACTCCTCATCGTACACGATGATCTGGAAGATAGAGGTTGGGCACCTTTAAAAAAGACGCGCATTTTGGAGATGACTATTTTCTATATGCCTAGAGATATGCATATAGTGAATCTCTGACAGATATTTTTTTATTTATCAGAAGGCCTTATCAGACTTGAAGCCTACAAATTATACTATTTGGTAACATGACAAATTAGCAAGCATACCTTCCAATGGCCAGAGAACTTGGTACAATGGTGAGACATCTTGGCTGTAGAAAAAAATATATGTATTTAAGTGTAATATAAGCAAATCATCATTTTTTTACAGAATTTCAAAATGCTCTGTCCTTTTTGGGTTTTGTCGCAACATGAAATGTGACAAATTAGTGTCCCTTTCCTTGTCATGTATTACTGGTAAGGAATACTTGCAATGATAAGAAACACACCAACATAAAATACTGTACTAATAAGTGCAAGTGGACTCATACATACATCTCTACATGTGTACATGGCATGGCATCTTCATATAATTAGTATACATGGCTACCATAGGGCAAAAGCGTCAGTAACAGCCAATGAAACAAAATTACTTGTAGCCTTTAAATACTGCTACCAACATGCAAGTAGGTGACCAGCTAAATTAAGCCTTTGTGTCATAAAAAATTCATATGCCTACAAGCATGAACAGAGCACACTTTTATCATTTGATGGAAAAAAGCATGCCTTTTTGGCATAATGAATACTAGTGCCTGCCTGTATGCCTGTTCGAAAGCATTTGCAAGTTATTTAAAGATCTGGACAAAAACTATGTCAAGCTACAATGAGCCTACAGGCACTAGATGCTGCTCCTCACTCAGTCCATCCTTGCCTAGCCACTGGACTGGCTGCACAGTGCATGCATATGAGGGAGGTGGGGACAGAAACTGGCTGTTGACCGGGGGAGGGGAGCTGAGGAGAGAGCGAAGAGGAACTCACCTCGCTTCGATGCCCTTGGGACGTCCTGATGAGAGAGTGAAACCTGGCACGCGTGTCTACCCTTTTAAAGCCTCCCCTGGCAAAGGGCCCAGCTAAAAGCCCCGGCTCAGCAGCAAGGGAGGGGCCCAGGCATTGTGTTTGACAAAGGAGGGGTTAAATCTATAGAGGAACAGAAGTGCAAACCCCACACTATGTCCACGCTGGGGTTTCCATGGTAGCCGAGACACAAGATACATACATACAGGATACATGTTGCATGACCAGAAAGACTGTGAGAATGGCATGTGGAGGATGAAAAGGTGGAGCTGAGGCATTCTCGTGTGTTGTCTTTGCTTTGCGGCCAGGTGCTTCAATGGCCAGGTCACGATCGTTGTTGCTCTGTGAATATACGCACAAGTGCGCCCCGCTGAAAACAATGTCTAAGTGAGCGGAGGTTACTGTAAGCCCTCCATGATGTAACGTGCATCATGGAGAGCTTACTGTAATAAAACTGCTAAAAACAAGTGATTTGAAACCACTTTCTACTCTTTCCATTTCCAGTACCACAACACACACATCCACAGGGATTTAGCAAAGGTCCCAAGAAAGCAAAAGGAAATTTATGAGAGGAACCAATAATATTTTACTCATTGATTTATAGTAATTTTCTCCAGATCAAAATAACATTCATGAGAAGTTCAAAGGTGAGCAAACTTGGCATTGAATAACCTTAGCTAGCCACACACAATTTTACAGTAAAATAAACTGCTTTATCACATTTTTAAGGATCTCATTTCCTCCACTGAACTTGGAACAGGCCATCCTGTCATTTCCTTTTTTTTGGAAATTTTTTAATGAATAGATTCACATATATTAATGTTTACTTGTGGCTATGGTTGTCAATTTTATGTGTACATTTACTGTAATTAATTTCCACTCTTTTTATATAAACATATAGGCTGATCTTGCTATTAATACATACACACATACAAAAGTCAGAAACCATCTTTCAATCTACTAACTTCCAGTCAAAACAGCATTTAAGTACAAATGATTAATTATACTTTTGAGTAGAGTTAATATAAGAATCCACTAGCATAAGAAAAAGAAAGTAAGTGAAAAAACTTGTGTAAACTTGTTTAAAAATTATTAAAGACATAATGAAAATGGGACTCCTAACAACCATACAAGACCTGAGAGACCACCAAAACTGTAACCATCAGATAAACACTTCATATATATTTCATCATTGAGGGATGGGAGAAAATCAAGCTTCATATTTGCTTCACATCTGAAAAAAATGCTCAGGTTTTTACATCCATCCTTTCACTGTTAGAGGCCAACTCAATGCTGTGGGTCTGAAATGATGTGTAGCTGTCAAGGCAGAGAAAAAGAAACAGACAAAAGAGAAGAAAACTTGCACAGAACAGTGGACTGGCACCACTGAATGTGTTTAGGATTACTTGGATCGTGAGGAGCAGAAAATGCATTCAACTTCTAAGACTGAACATTGGAGGTGTGGAAAAATACCCCTGCAGAATGAGCCTGAAGTCCTCAGAAAAAAATGGAACCTGTAAGTAAGGCAAAGGGTGGATACACTAAATGCTGAAAAAAATGATATTACATTTAAGTATTGAGGCTTCTGTGTAATTTTCTGTTACATATATGTTTTCTGCTTTTTTCTTGACTTGTACTTAATGGCCATTTTGACTGGAAATTCTTTGTTGGTAGTCTTTGACTTTTGCACAGTACTGTAGGTGCCAAGGAGCTAATACGATATACTCTAGCCGATAAGAAGCTTTTGCTAGAACATGGCAATCAATACTAAATTGCTTAAGGAAATGAAAACACTAATGACCTGTCCACTGTGCTGCAATCATTTTCTTTGTCCATAAATGTGTAACTGTACATGCTGTGTTCCATTTCTATTCCAGTTTGAGGATACTGTAACCTTTCCCTCTTATTTATGATAATGTGTTATGTTTGTTGTTGTTTTTGTTTTCTTTTTATGGCATATCTTGTTATTGGTCTCATTATTTCAAATTTAGTATCCTTTCTTTGTAACCATATTTGGTCTCCTTTAACTTGACTAGCTAAATGCATTAACAAATTATCTGTTGAAAGTTGATTTTCATCAGTGTTAGAGTTAATTAGGACAAGGGTGAGAGTTAGGTCACTTGAGCTAATGTTAAAGGGTATAGTCAAGGTTTAAGGTTAAGGTAAATAAAGTTAAATGCTATAAATCATGTACAGTGGGCTATCTAAATAGTGTTAGCCAATGTTAACCTAAAGGGTAATACAGTATTCTTAAAAACAAAGTATACAGCTTTAGTAAATACTTAAATACACTTTCATCAATTGTGCTATGGCTAATACTCAGTTCCTCCTACACTATTAAAATTTGTGTTTTATCTTAAAGTTAGTAACCTTACTGCATTAAAATTTTGAGTTCACTGAATTTCAAATAAAACCAGAATATTTATAAGACTTTTGCTGTGTTACAGTTAGAGGTTCAATTAACTCAAAATTTTAAGACAAACTGGCTACTTACTTTTTAAAGTTAAAACAATAAATCATTTTCACAGAGTAGATTTAAAGACTTATACAGCTGTACTGTATGTTTTATATTCTAGGCAATTAGTTATGTGTTCAAACATGTAACCTTATTCATGCTTTCTTCTCCGTTGCTCAATTGTTATGTTTTGCAATGTAACAGCGGTAACATCCTGTCTTTCCCTCCTTTGTCTTTCCTTTTTTCTGTGTCTGCCTTTATTTATCTCTTCTCATGTGTCTTGTTCCATGTACTTTTGTTTATGTGGCCCATGTGCTTTTGCTGTTGTTCTGGTCTTTGTCTCCTCCCGGTCCTGCCTTCTTGTCGTCTGTCTCACCTGTTTGTAGTCTGTAGCCCCACCCTCTCATTAGTCCCAGGTGTTTCTGGTTTGTTCCCTGTGTGTTTATTGTACAACTATGAGTACAACCCCTGGTTATTTGCTTGGTGTTGTGTTGTTGCAGGCCCTGTTTTGGTTATATATTTGCTATCCATTTTGTCATTAGTGTTCCTTTTTTGTTTAGTCACTTTTGTAGATTAATTTCCTTCAGTGTTTTCAATAAATCAAAGGACTTGCACATGCATCCAACCTCTTTGTCTCTCACAAGATTACAACAGCAATAATAACAATTTATGTCTTGGTTTACAGCCCACGGCTTAACCATTTTATACACTAGCTTTCAAATTTCAGCTGAACACAAGAATTACATTGCAAAAACAACTATGCTGAAAACTCAAAAATGGAATTGAACATATTGATTTCATGCAGTATATGTAAAATATTGTTGCTGTCTGAACAAAACCTTGTATCTCCAAAATGATAACATTACAGGAGAAGAAAAAAAACATTTTTAACGTAACTCAATGTAACCAGACTTCTTTCCAAGCAATTTTGAACCATTTCTTTTGATCCATTCATCACGAAATTTACACACAATGAAAATGAAAACAAACACTTTCAAATTATGTCAAAAACTGAAAAAAGATACAAGGTTTTGTTCTATATCTGCGATATGCTTTTAAAGTCAAGTACCTACAGGGTACATCTCTGCATAGAAACGTTCTATTTTTAAATTTAAAACTATTGTATAAATTCTGTGTCCATATTATTTTAGTTACTTTTGCCCCTGTTTGTCTAGCTTTCTTGAGTTATAACTTTAATTTCTATGTAATGTAATTGTTTTGCTCTGAACTGAAAATTGGTGTTGCTTATATATTCTCGCAGGAAAGCATGTCTCATACATTTGTTGTTAAGTCACATGGTCTGCCTGGTAAGCCTAGAATACAAGAAGTCTATAACATAATGCCAAAATAGTAATCTAAAAAAAGCAGTGAAAAGCAGTGAAATCAGTGTTCAAATGCAAGTTGCATGCTATTTTAAAATTCTGTTTAATCATCTTATAAATTGTCCTTCGGTGTTTGCAACAATATCATAACATTCTGTACAACAATGAGTCCCTTGCACACATAGCACCACTCCAAAACAGATGAGAACATGTAAGCCAGCTATTTAAGCCTTGTAATTTTCTGACTAGTAAACTAAGAGGAATAATGAACAATTGAACAGTGTTAAATTTCTGCCATTTCTTTCAAATCAATTTTGTCCATAGTATTTTTCTTAATTTTCTAAATGTATTAACCTGTTGAGCAGTTATATTTTCTGTTCGGAAAATCTTTCAGGATCAAAACTTTTACCAAAGCAGATGCTCCTAGTCGAACTTAGAGCAACACAGGGAGACGGCATAGGGAAAAGGATTAGTACATCCTAACCTAAGGCCTATACATTCCTCTAGTCCATAGACAGCCTATGGTGTACGGCACTACCATGTAGAGGAAAGTGCCATTGTCAGGACTTTCCATTGACAGTAAAGTGCTTACAGACAATGGGGCAGAGCTTTCTGGGCAATGGGATGACCCTATGGCTTTAGCACAAACCAACTCTGATGACGGGGGTGTTTCTATTGTATGCCAAGCCCCTCCATGCTCCCTTTGCCAGGGTATAAAAGATGAGGCACAGGACTGAAGGGGCAGCACGAGCCAGCCAGCTCAGCACGGCACAGCTGTACTCAAGCAGGTAAGCAGCCAGCAAGCGCAAATGGATCCAGCAAAAAAGGGCACTGTTCCCACTCATTCTCCAGTTGGGAGTCCAATCACCCTGTGCCTTGGTTTTGAGGGCAATCATAATTCATGGAAGCAATAGATCATTTAGCTGCTCTGGATCACGTTTCTTTTCTTAATTTGGGTAATGGTATCTGCCATTTGAAATATATAACCCAAATCCTATCATGACTCATTCCAACTCCATCTAAATTTACTGGGTCTTTACAAGGATCAACCCTCTCCCATTTATTTGTTGGCCCACTATGGATGTTTGGAGCTTATCCACTAAGTCCCATGGCCTTTTCTACTCTTTGCTCTCTCCCACAGACTCTCTTGAACCCCATCACCATGTCTCAGACCGCCAAGTCCGCCTCCAACCAGGGCACTGATGCCAAGGACAAGGGAACTCCTGCCCCTGCTCCCTCCAGCAAGGCCACCAAGACTGGAGATCCCGCCATGGGTAACTACAGAGTAAGTGCTTAGGTTCAAATGCTTCTGCCACTATTTTAGCTAGAATTATTTTCTGACTGCAATCAAGACAAAACTGTACTGTTTGTTGTATCTCAGATGCAAGTTGCTCAATATTATTTATTTATCTAAAAGAAATCCTGAACAATACTGAAAAAGTCCAATATTTGTTTGAGAGGGTAAGGGTAATTGTGCATTTACATGTCTGTGGATTAAAGCGGATAAATCTTTACACCTTCTCCCACAGATCATGCTGTTTGACCAGGAGAATTTCCAGGGCAGGATGATGGAGGTCCAGAATGAGTGCATGAACGTTTGTGACCGTGGCATGGACAGAGTCCGCAGTATCATTGTGGAGTGCGGCCCGTAAGTTACAGGCTAGAAGACTTTCTATTTATGAAATGTCTCCTGGATGTTTATCTTGATAGCAGAAGTGAAAAAAACTCTTATTCTCTTTTATAAATACTGCATTTTGATGGTACTGTTTTTCATCTTGTATTCATGTCATTGTTCCTCTGCTCTTTTCCCTTATGACCTCGGCCACCTGACGGCATTCCTTGTAAATTTCTGTCTTGGACCCCACTCTCCCTGCTCTCCTTCTCTTCAGCTTTGTTGCCTTCGAGCAGACTAACTTCCGTGGGGAGATGTTTATCCTGGAAAAGGGAGAGTATCCTCGCTGGGATACCTGGTCAAACAGCTACCGCAGTGACTGTCTCATGTCCCTCAGGCCCATCCGCATGGTAAGACACAATACACTCTTTAAAATAGAGGAGGAAAAATGGGTTCTTTGGAGTGTTGCCATAAAATAATCATGTTGAGTTTTCTAAGGGTTTCAATGGGTGGTTCTTTAAAAAGCAAAGAAGAAAATAGTCTGTGCAAATGTAAAGAACTTTTTTTTTTTAAGTTTAAAGAATCTCCACATTATGTAAAGGTTCCATTTTAATTGTAATTTTTTCCTGGAACTGCATCTCCAAGCCAAGAACTCCAAGAGCTCAGCACTATGTCCCAGAAATACTTGCCTTTATTTATCTTCTCACTTTAAACCTCTCTTTTCCGTTCCGCAATAAAGGACCCCATGGAGCACAAGATCTGCCTGTACGAGTTCCCTGACTTCCAGGGCAACAAGATGGAGATCCAGGAGGATGATGTCCCTACCCTCTGGGCGCACGGTTTCTGTGACAGAGTGGGCAGCGTGAGAGTTCCCGGTGGAGCGTGAGTATCAAATCACCCATTTGTAATAGAGCTCAACATTGTTCAAGGCAGAATCATTCCAAAGAAAAACTAGAGCAGCACCATGAAAATGTATCAGAATAAAGTTCATCATTTCTTATGAATTGAAACGAATTTGCAAACTACTGAACAACTTCATGTTTTTCACACCTCACAAGTCCAAAACAATAGCTCTTAAAATACTTAATTTTGTTATGTGAATACTGACACATTCTCTCTTTCCTTATCTAGTTGGGTGGGATACCAGTACCCTGGCTACAGAGGCTACCAGTATCTGTTTGAGTGCGGCGACTACAGACACTACAACGAGTTTTGTGCCTTCCAGCCTCAGATTCAGTCCATGCGCCGTGTGAGGGACATGCAGTTCCACCAGCGCGGTTGCTTCACCCTGACCGCTGCTAAACAGTGAAATAGTCCTCCTGCAGACCTGTGGCAGAAAAACTAGCCTTCTCATGGCGCTTTTTATCCCCTCTCCCAAACCTTCCCTCTGACTCTCCCTGAGAATAGATTGATATAAATTGTACCAGACATCTGACTCTCTTTTTATGATGCCAATAATAAACATGTTTTGGAAAATTGACTTTCTACGCAGAGTTTTTTTTATTTAAACAATGGGTAGGCTATTCTTGCTGGGCAAATTTGAAAATCCTTAAAGTATCTTTGTTTCTTTTTTTAGGGAGAAATGAACACATTTAACAAGATTTTGGACACCAAAGTCCAATACATTTGATCTTGCGTCTTTTCAGGGGTACGTAACTGGAACTGAATAAAAACAATATTAAATATCATGAATCAAAAGATTTACTTGATAAAGATAGTATTTGGCAAATTCTTATTACCGTTTGCACAAATGTAACATATTTCAAGATGGGTCATCCTAAAAAACCTGCCTCAATACATGCCAATAAATATTTGAATGTCCTAAGAATCACGCAGATAAAGCATATGCTGTACTGTAGCACCAGTGTAGCAGAACACATGAAAAAAACATTTTACACATGGATAAATGCTCTTTTATTAAACAAATACTTCAAAGATCTAGGTAACCCAGCACTAACCCAACAGAAACACAGGGGCGTGGTAACTCGGAAGGACATGACACACATGGAGGGTCGACAAACACACACATAAAGCCCACCCTCCATGGACACAACAATGGTGTTTAAAATAGCCTACTACATACTGCTTGCCTAGGGCTTGTAACCAAAAAGTATTAAGTAGTATGCACTATGTGAATTTTACCAGTATGCCAAAGATACCCAGAACACATACTGCTCCAGGAAAACATTGCAGTAGGCCAACACAGCCATCTCCGTGATACAAAGCATCCCAAAATTCAATGCGGTCATCGATTGCTAAGCTTTGATTAGAGGGCTGAGGAAAGTGGGGCAGGTCTAGAGATGGTCTGACGGGCTTAGTCCATAATGTTGGCAGGCTAGTCGCGCCTCTTCCCTTTAGTATACTACACAGCTGTATTGTTCAGTTCACTACAAAGAGTAGCATGCTGTATACAGTATATACTGGTACAGTGTACAGTACACACTATGCTATTTTGAACACGGACAACAACTAGTACTACAACAGTCCAGTTTTAGCCCGGAGCGTAGCACCTCCCCTAAGCTCCTCACGCAGATCGGGATGCCACAATACTATTTTAAAGTTTTAACCCTAATTCTCCTTGCCACAATGTGTGCACATATCTTTCATTACCGACAGCTACCATTTAAATTTTTAATTAGAGAAGAAAAGAGTTTGTATCACTTAACTGTTGAATCTCTTTATTTTAATGTTTGCCTGGATGTGAACCAACAAAATGTTATGTAGCTATAAGTACATTGCTTTAAAACTCAGGCTGACAACAGCATACAGGTTTGCTGCTTCAGTGTTTTTAGGTCTTGATGTCAGATCTTTTTATGGTATACTGAAGTACAATAATAAACATTTAAACAAGTAACTTTGACATACACAAAATTTAAGACTCAATTTACAGTGTTGACCATTCTTTTACAAAACCTCTGCAATTTGCTCTGGCATGCTGGAGATCAGCTTTCTGGGCCAAATCCTGACTGATGGCAATGCATTCTTGCCTAATCAGTGCTTGGAATTTATCACAATTTCTGTGTTTTTGTTTATCCACCTGCTTTTTGAGGATTGGCCACAGGTTCTCAATGGGATCTGAGATGAGTTTCCTGGACATGGACCCAAAATTTCAATGTTTTGTTCACCAAGCCACCAAGTTCACTTTTCCCTTGTGACATTGTGCTCCATCTTGCTGGAAAAAGCATTGTTCATCACCAAATTGCTCCTGGATCATTGGGAGAAGTTGCTCTTGGAGGATGTTTTGATACCATTCTGTATTCATGGCAGTGTTCTTAGGCAAAATTGTGAGTGAGCCCTCTCCCTTGGATGAGAAGCACCCCCACACATGAACTGTCTCAAGATACTTTACTGTTGGCATGAGACAGGACTCATAGTAGCGCTCCGCTTTTCTTCTCCAGACAATCATTTTTCCAGGATGTCCCAAACAGTCTGAAGGGGGCTTCATCAGAGAAAATAACTTTACCCAAGTCCTCTGCAGTCCAATCCCTATACTTCCTGCAGAATGTCAGTCTGTCCTTGATGTTTTTCTTGAAGAGAAGTGGATTCTTTACTGCTCTTCTTGACACCAGGCCATCCTCCAAAAGCCTTTGCCTCACTGTGCATGCAGATGCACTCACACCTGCCTGCTGCCACTCCTGAGCAAGCTGGTGGTGACCTGATTCCATAGCTGAATCCACTTTAGAAGATGGTCCTGGCTTTTGTTGGTCTTTCTTGGGCCCCTTGAAGCCTTCTACACAGCAATTTAACCTATTTCCTTTTAGCTCTTGATGATGATAAATGGTTGATTTAAGTGCAATCTTACAAGCAGCAATGTTGTGTTTAATTGGAGGTAACCATGATTAACAAAAGAAGACAAAGACTTCAAGCACCACCCCCCTTTTGAAGCAACCATTCTGCTCTTCTAATTCAATCAGCATGACAGAGTGATATTAACTGCCTTGTCCTCGTTAACACTTTCTCCTGACCTAACAAGAAGATCACTGAAATGATTTTAGCAGGTGCATGTTCTCCCCGTGTCTGCGTGGGTTTCCTCCGGCAGTCCAAAAACATGCAGTCAGGCCAACTGGATGTGCTAAATTGCCCCTAGGTGTGAGTGTGTGTGAATGTGTATGTCTGTCTGTCTGCCCTGCGATGGACTGGCGACCTGTCCAGGGTGTATCCTGCCTTCCGCCCAATGACAGCTGGGATAGGCTCCAGCACCCCACCGCGACCCAGAAAGATAAGCGGTTTAGATGATGGATGGATGGATGGATGTGTGTATATATATATATATATATATATATATATGTTGTGGTGAACCAGGTGGAATTAGGCATCATTATTTGTATATCCAAAAGACTAGTAATTTTTATTTTTTTTTAATCTTTTATTCAAGTCCCAGTCGTGCTCGTGAGAATAACTTCGTTGATATTCTCCTCAGCATTGCAGGCTACGCCTATCTAAAGAGTCAGTCTAATATCTCCAGTGGGTGGCAGTGATGTTGCCATAAAAGCCTGAAGAAAAGCACGAAGAAGGAAGGAACGAATATGGCAGCACTTTTTAAAGCTCGAAAAGGTCAGTAAATAAACAGTGGCTTTTTGAGATAACGGGTCTGTTATGTGCCTCGTCAGCTTTTATTTCACATATTTTACAGCAATACGTAACGATAGTCGTGACTGAAAACGCTGGTATAACGCTAACCAAATGATTACAGGGAGCTGCACGGTAGTGCGTCTTGGTTTGAAAATACACCGACACCTAACTAATGTCAAATTCTTAGAGAATTGTTCTTTGTAGATGTAACTGCATAACAACATGAACACAACTCTTTGTCTTTGGCAGCTTACAGAAATTTGGCACAAAGATGGAGGATGTTAGACCAGGCGATGCCTGCCTGTCAGTATTGCAAACCCGCTTACAGCAGCTGTTTAAGCTCATTTTTTTATTTTTATTAAACCCACAAAGGCAAGAAATAAATACATGTGAATGCCATGTTGGCTGGCTTGCTGGGTGGATATAATTACCTCTTGTCTGGTAATATATTGTCGGCTAACCCACTCACTCGTCATGACCTTTCACCTACTTCCATGAACCCTCTGTAAAAGCCTAGTGTACTGACCGAAATCATTCACATATCATAACCGGAGTTTACTGTATCAATTTAATCATTAATTCCGTGCTAGATTCCAAATTCAGATCTCAAAATGATTTTTCATCTTTAACTTATCTTGGCTACTTGCCTTGTTCTTTTCCTGGACTCTGTAGTATTTGTGTATTTGTACAGGGACCTGTTTCGGTCATAGGTCTCGCCGCATTTAGTCTATCATCTCGACCGAGTTGTATTGCCGTTTTTTTTTTTTGTTTTTTTTTTTAAAAACTATCACCAACGCACGCTGACTCCCATTCAGGCAACTCAAAAGGGGTGAAATTGGGCCAGAGCTCTGCGGAGACATTTGGTTCAAGGGGACGGCAAACAAAGCTGAACTCCAGTGGTGTATTTTAACGTGAGTTTTTTTACTAATACACGTTCATGAAATCAGTTTAACGATTCGATGAACCGCGCTGAGAAATAACATCTTGAGTTTAGAATGTAGAGCTAAAGTTACACACACATTTTCTCACCCACCCCTCAAGTTCTTGACGTTGCACTTAAGTTCCACACCCTCCTTGTATTGTTCTGCCGAATTTCACAATCATGTTAGTGCTTATGTGTGTGTTCTTGCTGTTTTATGGTGTTTTAGGTTGGTGAGTAGATTGGTTTATACCGCAGTAAAGTTGGCTTACGGTTAGCAATGCAGGATTCGGTCGGCTATAACTCCGTGATGCAATATCTTGAACTTACAACTAGTGAGTCCTGATTGTTAACTAATTCATTCTCCACTCCGAAATCCAACATACCTCGCTTCGGAGCTTTATTTTCCAAAGCTTCTAACTTCAAAAGTTGACCGCTCAGATAAATGAAACCAGGATCAAATTGACCAGACTGATTTGACGAGGCTGAAGTTAGTTACTTATTCGCAGCTCCCGATTCGTTTGGCTCCTTATTCGCAGCGTCTTATTCGCCGGCTTAAGTAAGGTACTTATTCGCGGCTTCTCATTTAGCGAATGACGGTAAAACAAAGGGAGTGTTCACAAACGCTATATGTTTCCCATTTTAACAGACTCAGAGAGACTAATGATGGAGACATACTAATGAAGGAGTTAGGAATGTGTACTGTGTTTGCTTTACCATTGTGAACATGAAGTATGAGACTGAAGAAAAAAAAAAGATTTTTTGAGTTTATGAATTAGATTTAAAACTAATTTAAATTTAATGTGATTAAATTCAGT